AAACTCAGACGCTCGGCAACCGACTCATATTTACGACGGTCGCAGCGTCCCGGGGTCACGTGATCCCCTTTTGCGACTTTCTGACAAGCAACGTCAATGGGGAAGCCGGATTCGCTTAACGACCGTATTACTCACTTAATAACTTCAGTGATTTGCTTACAATCGGGTTAGTAAGAGTAGGAGTGATTCAGTTAATGGCTGTGGTAAGACATGACGTAAAATGGGGCAAAATTCCCTTAATTCTCGTTTAGCCACAGATGTTTTGGGCTCACCCGTGGCCGTACGTTGAGGACTACCTGTGAGTAGCTAGCTAGCTGACTAACTAACTAAAGTAAGTAACTAACTACATACATAAATAAAAATTTTCCTGAATTTGAATCAGTTCCTTGAACTCCGCCTTCATTTTGTCTGGCCCGAAGGCAAACGAAAGGGCTGTGTTTGCGTTTGTGGGTCTGTGTGGGGTGTGAACTACTCAATGTTGCTACTCTTGGTTTGCCCGAGAAGGCTGCCAATCTCCAAAACCGGGTTAAACCAAAGTCCATCGTGGCTACTTTGGGCCTTCGGAGATTGCCGTAAAGCGTTTCCTTGTAAAACCTCCACGCCAATAATCTGATTTTTTTGTTTGTGTGTGACGTTTGCCACAACGGCCAGGGGAAAGTTCCCCATTGCGTAATTCGACTTTTGTAACCTGGAACGCTAGTTACACACACACACAGACACAAACACGCACGCTGCGATTATCTCCTTGTGCCGACAAACCCGGAAAAAACGGATAGTCAAGAAAAAAGACACCCGATCACACAATTGCACAACGGCACATGACTAAGCAGAATATTCCTGAAGGTTTTTGTAAAGGGCGAAGGGCAAATACAGATTCATTACAAAAGCACAGCTGGTTCATTTAGTGGCGGTTCCGAGTTACGACGGCATCCTACCCCCCACAAAACACGGACGTGGGACCCGTTTTTCACCCTTACGACCGATGTTCACCTGATCCGCGTCGACACGCCTGGCAACCGATTCCTATTTATGTTCCGATTTGAATCCGGACGCCGACTCGCATTTACGACGGTCGCAGCGTCCCCGGCGTCCCAGAATCCCGTCGGACAAGCCAGGCAGTCACTTCACAACCGTTGTAACTCACTTAACAATCGCAGCGATTTGCTGAAACAACCGTGGCGGGAAATGTCAAAATGGGGCACGACTCCCTTCGCCGGTGTCTCGCTTAGCGACGGACGCGTTGCGTTCCTCGGTCGTAAGGCGATGACCAGCTTGTTTTAGGAAGTTCCTTGGTGTGGAGCCAAGGAACTGGGTTTCTATCTTTGGAAGGCAGAAGTGTGAGTTTTTGTGGGTGTGTTATGTTTGCGTACACGGTTGGACATCCTCCCTCCTCTTTGTGGTTGCGAATCGGCTCGTAGGGAGGAATGTGGGCGTTGGAGAAGGGAAAACACACACTCAGAGCCCTGTGGGATCAAACCGCTGGGAAATTCCAGCTGGGAAAAATAGGGAATGTCATCAGGGCTAGAAGGGAGGAGGAGGAGGAGGAGGAGGAGGAAGGATTGTGGGGTCCTTGGTGCTCTCTTAAGCTTGGTTGTTTTCTTGGGGACGTTTCATGACCCAACTAGGTAACATCATCAGTTGTTATGTAAGATTAGGATAGGCCTGCAGAAAAGCAGGACTTCTGGAATTATAACGATATGATATGAACATGATATGATAAACAGTTCCTAGAATTGTCTGAAATGGTGTAGGGTTCCTGCCTGGGCAGGGGGTTGGACTCGATGACCTCCAAGGTCCCTTCCAACTTTATTATTATTATTATTATTATTAATTGGGTATGTCTACTTTAACGAAGAGAAGGACGAGGGGGGACAGGATAGCAGCCTTCCAGTATCTCAGGGGCTGCCCCAAAGAAGAGGCAGTCAAGCTATTCTCCAAGGCGCCTGAAGGAAGGACAAGAAGCAACGGATGCAAACTGATCAAGGAGAGAAGCAACCGAGAACTAAGGAGAAACTTCCTGACAGTGAGAACAATTAACCAGTGGAACAATCTGCCTCCAGAAGTTGTGAATGCTCCAACACTGGAAGTTTTTAAGAAGAGACTGGACAGCCATTTGTCTGAAATGGTGTAGGGTTTCCTGCCTGAACAGGGGGTTGGACTAGATGACCTCCAAGGTCCCTTCCAACTTTACTACTACTACTACTATTATTATTATTATTATTATTATTATTATTATTATTATTATTATTATTATTATTGTTATTATTATTGTTATTATTATTATATTATTGATGATGATAATGATGATGATGATGATGATGATGATGCTAATAATAATAATAATAATAATAATAATAATAATAATAATAATATACCATTTCGGACAAATGGCTGTCCAGTCTCTTCTTAAAAACTTCCAGTGTTGGAGCATTCACCGCTTCTGGAGGCAGGTGGTTCCACTGGTTAATTATTCTAACTGTCAGGAAGTTTCTCCTTAGTTCTAGGTTGCTTCTCTCCTTGGTTAGTTTCCACCCGTTGCTTCTTGTCCTGCCTTCAGGCGCTTTGGAGAATAGCTTGACTCCCTCTTCTTTGGGGCAGCCCCTGAGATACTGGAAGACTGCTATCCTGTCCCCCCTCGTCCTTCTCTTCCTTAAACTAGACATCCCCAATTCCAGCAACCCTTCTTTATATGTTTTAGCCTCCAGTCCCCTGATCATCTTTGTGGCTCTTCTCTGCACTCTTTCTAGAGTCTCAGCATCTTTTTTACATCGTGGTGACCAAAACTGGATGCCGTATTCCAAGTGTGGCCTTACCAAGGCCTTGTAAAGTGGTATTAACACTTCACCTGCTCTTGATTCTATCCCTCTGTTAATGCAGCCTAACACTGTGTTGGCCTTTTTGGCAGCTGCAGCACACATCTGGCTCCTATTTAAGTGATTGTCCACTACTAGGACTCCGAGATCCCTCTCATAGATCCGTAGCTGGCTGACCGGCCGTACTCAGCGAGTGGTCCTCAACGGAACCGCATCTCCATGGAGGGAAGTGTGTAGTGGGGTGTCCCAGGGCTCTGTTCTGGGCCCAGTGCTCTTCAACATCTTCATCAACGATTTGGACGAGGGGATAGATGGGGAACTCATCAAATGTGCGGACGACACCAAGCTGGCAGGAATAGCCAACCCTCCAGAAGACAGGCTTAGGATACAGGAGGATCTGGACAGACTCGAACACGGGGCGCTGTCTAACAAAATGAAATTCAAGGGTACCAACGGATGATTGATAGCTAAATAATGTAGAGATGATAAATAATAGATAACAAATTGATAGATGGTAAATAGTGGATGATAGGTAATAGATGATTATCGACAGATGAGAAATAGATATTTAATAAAGAGATAGATGATGAATAGACGACTGATAGGTAAATAATGAATAGCTAACATAGAGACCGATACATAGATTGATAGGTAAGACAGAAAGATAGAGAAATGAAAAATAGATGATTGATAGTAAATAGTAAATAATTGATAGTAAATAATATACAGACCATAAAAGTTAGATGATAGCTAGGCAGAACGATAGGCAGATAGGATACATAGAATGATAGGAAAATAATAATAGGATAAATATATGATTGGTAGATAAATAATGTTTAGATGGTAAATGATAGATGATAGATGCCGTGATAGATAGATAGATAGATAGATAGATAGATAGATAGATAGATAGATAGATAGATAGATAGATGTAAAGAGCATAGATAGATAGAGCTAGATAGATAGATAGAGATAAATTGATAGGTAAATAATGTATAGATGATAAAGATAGGTAGATACATAGATAGCCAGATGATTGAGCCTACATTGATAGTTGATTGATAGATGATAGACAGATAGATAGTCAGATAGATAGATAGAGAATATGATAGAGAATATGAGATAGATAGACAGACAGACAGACAGACAGACAGATAAATAAAGTATAGATGGTAAAGATAGGTAGATAGATACATAGAGATAACCAAATGGTTGATATAAATCCTAGATCGATAGATGATTGATAGATGAGAGAGAGAGAGAGAGAGAGAGAGAGAGAGAGAGAGAGAGAGAGAGAGA